AAAGAGGGATTTTAGAGATCTTGAAATGAGATCATTCTGGGTTTACAGGTGAACCCAAAATCCAATGACAAGAGTCCTTCTAAGAGTCAGAAAAAGAGAAGACAGTCACAAAGGAGATGGCCAAGCTAAGACGGAGACAAAGATTAGAGGGATGCAGCCACAAGCCAAGGAAACAGCAACCACTGGAACCTGGAAGAGGCAGGGGTCAGAACTTCCCCTAGAACCAGCAGAGGGAGACGGTTCCTGCTGACTGACATCTGGATTTCTGACTTCCAGCTTCCAGAATACATGGTCAGCAAATAAATTTCTGTTGCTACACGCTACCCACTGTGTAGCCATTTGCCCTAGGAAACAAATACACCCTCCCACACTCCAGCCTTCGTGGCCATCTACCTTTCATACTTAGCTCAGGTGTGACATCCTCCGTGAAGCCTCCCTGAGCAGTGGTGGAGGGGGGCAGGCCCTCCCATTCTCAGCTTGCCCTGAGTTTTTCATGGTGGCTATTACAATTGCCATGCACTTTCTCCCATTGTTCCTCTTTCATTCTCTGGCGATCCCAGGTAAACTTGACCTTCTCTTTGGCACTATGACTAAACATCCTCAAGTTACCCTCAGACTCCTTTCCAAGGGTGTGACTGAAAGCTTGGGATTTGACCTCACATTTACACTTACTCACATGGGTTCCAGTGTGATGGTGAGAACAGATTTAGATCTGTTACCCCAAAGATGCCTGGAACAAGCCTTCGGATGTACTTTCTAGCTAATGGGGGCAACCTCAACTTACCTTCCTTGGCTCCTGCCATCAGAAATTTGGCTCTCCTGGCTTCTTCTCACTGTGTTAAAACAACTCACAGAAGCTGTACAGCTGCCTTCCTGGGAGGAAGGCCAGAACTAATCATCTCACAAAATCTCTAATAAGAGGTTAAATACATGTGTGAGACATAATTGAGACACAAAGAATGGAATTCCGTGAACTCTAAGAAACGGTGCATTTGCTTCCAGAATCCCTGCTTGCTCTGTGTCTGGGTTTTACCTCTCTGTCCTTCCCCCTCCCAGGTACAGTGTTATTGGCTTCTGGAACCTTCCTTTCAGTGATCCCATCTGACCTTGCAACTCTAAGTTCTTCTTGCCTGCTAGTCCATTCTGTCTTGGGCCTTATTCTGATATGCAAGACCAGCAAAGCAAGAAGCCCACCCTCCCTGGAGAGCTATTTGCTTCACACAATAGTTTGGGTGTGAATGTTTCCCCAAGGACCATATGTTAAATTCATGTCCCCAGTCTACGGCACTGTTGGGAGGTGGGGAAACCTTTAGGAGGTGGGGACTAGGGGGAAGAAGTTAGGCCATTGGGAGCATGCCCCTAAATGGGATTTGGGGACTTCTGCCCCTTTCTCTTCTTCTCTTTGTTTCCTATCTGCTGTGAGATAAGCAGTTTCCTCCCCAACATGCTCCCCCACACCCATGATCTCTCTCATCATAGGCCCGAAAGAAATGGAACATAGACTGGAACATCCAAAATTATGAGCCAAAATAAACCTTTTCTGTTTTAAAGTTGATTATCTCAGGTATTTTTTTTAATAGCAACATAAAGTTGACTACTATGCCTAGCTATTCCCAGGTAATAATTATCCCTCACACCAAGCAGCTTACCCAAGCCTTTTAATCACACACTTACAATGCTTTCCTTGATAAATCAAGGAAAAAAACTTTTCTCAATCTCCTGATACATATGACTTTTATAATAAGAAAAAAATTAAATTAGAAAACACGTGAAGCTGTGCTGTATAGCATACTCAGACAGAAATAGTGTTGTTAAGACAGCCTGACTGTTGATAGAATTATGCACTGGAAAAATCTTTTAGGAAGTTGATTTGCCAGGATCTATCAGTGTTTAAATATGTTTCCTCTGAGACCTGGAAATCGTCCTAGTAAGACAATCCCTAGAAAAAAAATTTCTGATTTTTCTGAAAGATTGTTTATGATACACTGGTGAGTGTTTACCTGCCTCCTGTGTCAGTTATACATTCATTCACACTGTGTGTGTGTGTGTGTGTGTGTGTGTGTGTTATAAATACATGTCCATTACATCCCAGTGTAGCTGTGATTATGAACTACCATCATTTGAAGTGGAGGGGTAAAATTTAATTCAACACCACAATCTTTTTTTTTAATATTTATTTTTTAGTTGTAGTTGGACACAATGCCTTTATTTTATTCATTCACTTTTTTAAAAAAATGTGGTGCTGAGGATTGAACCCAGGGTCTCCCACATGGGGGACAAGCACTCTACTTCGGAGCCACAACCCCAGCCCATCAACACCACAATCTTAATGCAACCCAATTATCTCAATAGTTGCTCTTGTTCTTTGGACGACTCATGCAAATGTTCAGTCCTTGCTTTCTCCGAAAGGCAGGTCAGGTCTATGGGGAATGTGGTTTGGGTATTTCTGGTGTGAAGAAGAGCAGCTGGCATCCTGCTGGGCCTCGTGAGTGGGCTGGCAAGTGATTGCTGAGGTGTGAGGTGTCCAGTCCTAATCTCTGAGCCCTTGGCTCTCATCAAACCCCACTTTCTCTTAATTTGTATTCCACATTGCAGCTGGAGTGATCTTTTTAAAAAATGTAAATCTAATCATGTTACTCCTTTATACAGCTAACCTTAATACCTTCTCATTGTCCTCGGGAGAAAGACACAAACATCTAAGAAGTGTCACATGTGTCACCACCCCCCTCCAAATTTCCCTCCTGCCACATCTTGTATAACCTTGCTCCACCCCAATGCACATGGTCCTTCCAGTTCCTTGAATGTGAAAGGCTTCTGCACCTGTCACATACCTGTGTATTCTGCCTTTACTAATTCCTTTTATTCCTCCAGATCCACTCCCTAGGGTTTCCTTCCTTTATCTCTTTGACAGCTCCAATTTTCCTGATTATTGGCCACAATACATCTGTCTTCAAAGCTCTTGTCACCAGTGTAATTTTATAGTATTTGTGAAATATATGGTCCCTGAAATAAATCAGATTCTCCACAATATTAGTTTCTCTTTCTCCTTTCTCATTTATAATTAGGCCTATGTACCAGGTTGGTGCTCCCTGAGGGAGTGTCTGTTATCCTGCCAGCTAGATTAATAACTTGAAATTCAAGTTGATAAAGCAGCTGGAGAATTTGGGTTAGAATGAGTCAGCTCCCCAAAGCCAGTCACATATGACATTGCAATGTTGTGTTAGCTTCCTGGGGCTGCTGTAACAAATTGCCATAGACTTGATGGCTTAAAACAGCAAGCTTATTCTTTTATGGTTCTGGAGGCCAGAATCTGAAATAAAGATGTCAGCAGGATGTGCTGAGGCTGTAGCTCGGTGTTAAAGCACTTGCCTAGCACATGTGAGTGCCTAAGTTCAATCCTCAGCACCACATAAAAATAAAAAATAAGTAAAATAGAAGTATTGTGAAAAAAATTTTTAATAATAATAATTAAAAAAAAGGTGTCAGCAGGACTGTATTCCCTCCCAAGTCCTCCAGGGAGGATACTTCCTTGCCTCTTCCTAACCTCTGGTGCTTGCTGGCCATCTTTATTTTTCCTTAGTTTGAAGACGCATCATTCCAAAGTCTGCCTCCATCACCTCCCTGTGGGACTGTGTCTAAATTTCCCTTTTCTTATAAAAACACCAGTCATTGGATTGGAGATTATTTTATCCACCATGAGCTTACTTTAACTTGACTAATTACATCTGTAAAGATTTTGTTTCCAAAGGAAAGACCATGGAATGAATCTGACATATCTTTCCTACGTACATATATAAATATACCACAGTGACTCTTACCATCGTATACATCCAAAAGACTGAGGTTCTAATTAGAAGAATATATATTCCATGTTTGTATAATTATATCAAAATAGATTCTACTGTCATGTATAACCCAAAAGAACCAATAATAAAAGATCTGTTTCCAACAAGGATCACAGCCTGATGTCTCAAGTGAATAGAATATAAATTTTGGAGGGACACTAGTAGACCCAGTAGAAAGGTGTATGAGTCATCATTTAATATGCCTTATTTGTAGGCTTATTAACATGCTTACAGCAAAAGGAGGCACAGAGTATTCCTTTCTGTATAGCTAGCATATGTGAGATACAGTAGGAAGTGATAAAGTCATGGAATAAACTCCAAAACAAACTAAACTCTCCTTTAGTGGTTCTAACCATAGCATTTTGATGACATTCTGTTGTCTTAGTTCAGACTGCTAAAACAAAGTACCATAGACTGGGTAATTTATAAACAATGGTTCATCAGTAAAGATGCTAGGAAGTCCAAGATCAAGGTGTCAGTAGATTCAGTGTCTGGTGAGGGCTCAGAGCCCTCTGCCTCAAAAATGATGCCTTCTTTCTGCATCCTCACCTAGCAGAAGTGGTGAACAAGATCTCCTGGGCCCCTTTGATAAGGGCACAAATTCCATTCTTAAGAGCACCCCCTATGACCTTATCATTTCCCAAAGGCCCTACCTCCCAACATCAGCATAATGCAAATTATGTTTTAATATATGCAGGAGAACACAAACATTCAGGCCAAAGCAAATGTTTATGTAACATATTTTAGTGTTTATTCCCCTATGTCTTGGATATAAATTTGCTCCCACTTAATCCACATCTGTAAACATGATGCTATTCCATTGCTTTCAATTAATGTATCTCATTTAAAGAGGCTCTCCCCATTTCCCTAAAATGTGAAGCCCAATTCACAAGAGTCTCTCATCTATCTCTGAGGGATTTTTTATTTCTCTTCTAGATTAGACACATCTGGATGTGTAACCTGTGGAATAAATGAAATCTAACTGAAACCCATACATATAAATGGAAGGGGGAAAGGGAGGGTGGAGAGAGGAGAGAAAACCATGCTATACAAAAATATATCCCTAACAGATATAGATACTGGCTGAATGTTTAGTGGCTGAGCATTAAAATCAATATTTCCACTAAGGCAAGATCAAAGCTAAATATGACCAGCAAAGAACAAATTTCTAGAGGCTGTTATCAAATTTTTCAATTATTATAAAATTTGGTGGCCTACTGAAAAGTTATTATAGTATAGAACAGCCCTGGCTCCTAGATTGCTCCTGTGACCACCATACCACACATTTATGTTACTAAATTGTCACTTTTTATTGAAGTTTGAAGAGTAGCCAGACTTTTTTTTTTCCTAGCTCTGCCAATAGAGACTTTGGCTGATGGGGATGTTACCACCACAATATTAAGCTTTCCTTCTTTATTCATAAGGGACTACAGTAAAAACTTACTTTTAGCACCTGTTCTTGAAGATGAGTAGATTATGATAATGTAATTTCACTAAAACCATCTCACAAATTGACAGTCTGGGCACTGCTTGAAAATGCTTTCTGCATATTTTCAGAAGCAGACTTAAGACTGTAATGATGATTTGTATTCTTCCATTTCTAATATTTTGGTAGGCACTTGTGGCTTCACAAGATCACTTGAGAAAATTTTATCCTTAAGCCTTGGAAGCATACAATGGAAAGCATAATTCACATGACTGGTAAGAACAAACTGTGTTTCAGACACTCCTATTTTCTCTACCACTTCTTTTCTTCATACTTTTATTCTTTATTACGTGTGGATCATAAGTGATTGTCATAATGGAGGTTATTTTTGCTTGTGAAATTTTTAAGGCGCAAAGTTGCTATGACAGTATAAAATTAAAATTTGGTCTCATAAATTGTGAAGAAATCTTTACAAGGACTTTTAAAAATAAAAAAAAAATAGGGCTGGGAGTGAGTGGTGGAATGAATGTTTAGTAGAGGCCCTGGGTTTGATCTCTAGCACAACACACAAAATAAAATTAAATGAATAAACAAAACTATGGTTTAAATTTAATTGAATACAAAAAAATCATATAAATTCTAAAACAGACACACACACACACACACACACACACACACACACACACACACACTCTGGCCATTATGCCTCAGTCTATCATAGTGAGAAGATAGACAACTTGACGTTCAGACATCTACCGACTGGGGAGAAGAGTTGAGGTGTGGTCCTGCTTTGAGAATGAGTACCTCCTTGAATTTTGAGCTTTGGGTTCTTTAATTACCTCACCCTAGGTTGGACTCATGCATCTCCATAGCATCCCTGTGACAATACATAGTGGTCTTCCTGCACTTGGTATGGCAGGACAATGTGATTTCGGGAGAAAGGCTGGATAGGTTTAGCATAGACTCAGGAGTCTGTGAGGAGTGAGAGGGAAGAGAAATCAAGCCAGAACTCCTCAGGAGGAACTCTTTCCTCCTGGAGTTTTTCCTCCAGCAGCCTTCCAACCTTCTTCAAAACAAACTCACTCGTCTCTGAAGCCACATGTTCAGTGGCCATTATGAGACTTTCAACAGCCTCTCTTTTGTGGTGAGTCCCCTGTTTTCTGATCTCATGTCTTCCCCTTCTTGATGTTCTGCCAGACTGTTTTGGAGAATATCCTCCAATACCTCCCTGAGAAAGGACTCTTGGGAGGTTGTATTTTGAGAACTTCTATGGCTGAATGTTTCTTTATTTCTTCACCGAATCATTGATAATTAGGCTGGGAATAGAACTCTTGTTTGGAAGTTATGTCTTCACAGAATGTTGAAGTCAGTGACTCATTACCTTCTGCTTCCAACACAGCTATTGAGAAACCGACCACATTTTTATTTCTTATTCTTTGTGGTCTGATACCTACCACCTGCCCTGCCCAAGAATCCCTTAGAATTCACTCTTGGTATCTACCTTTACATATCGATTGTGCCGGTTACTCCAAGAACATTGATTCAAATATTTAAAGTTTTCTCTTAAATTCCTTTTTGTCCTGTTTGTTGAGGTTTCTGTCTTTGATGCTGATGACCTGAACTGAAGAGTGCTTAGTGATCCCTCTACGTCCATTCTCACTAAAGAGCGAGTCACTAAAAGTCTCCATAGCTTTCTGTGCTTCTGATGACAATGGAATAACTGTGATCATGTTTACTCTTCTACTAAAACAAACAAACCAAAAAAAAATATATGGATAACAATGATTTTCAGACTTTAAGCATCAGGTAGCACTATCTCAGAGAACACTGTCTCAGAGGACAGACAAGATAAACACTACCGATAAACATACTGCTTTTAACAAGTTTGCAAAATATTAGACCAATATTTTAAAAATCCGTTGTTTTTACATGGATTAGCTATCATCAGAAATGAAGCTTTTATCCCAATACAAAATTCTTGTCAAAGCATTTGCAAGAACAGTATACTGAAAAAAAGTAAAGACATAAATAGTGAGATACAACATGTTCATTGATTGTAAGACTCAATATTATCAAGAAGATAATTCTTTCAAACTTGACCTATGGAGTCAATGTAATCCTAGTAAAAATCCCAGAAGTTTTTGTTTTGTTTTGTTTTGTTTTGTTTTTTGCAGAAATCGGCAAGCTGTTTCTAAAATTCACATGGAAATGCAAAGGAACTAACTAGTCAAAGAAATTTCATAAAAGAACAAAGTTGGAGGACTTGCTACTTGATTTAAAGACTTCAAATTTAGTTATCAAGACAGTGAATAAAGGTAAACATACAGATCAATAGACACAACATAAATATTGGTCATACGTGACACACATAGTCAACTATTTTTGACAATTCAAGGGGGGAGCCAGGCATGGTGGTGCACACCTGTAATCTCAGCTGATTGGAAGGCTGAAGCAGGAGGATTGCGAGTTCAAAGCCAGACTCATCAACTTAGCAAGATCCTAAAGCAACTCAATGAAACCCTGTCTCTAAATAAAATATTTTAAAAGACAGCTGGGGATGTGGTTCAGTGGTTAAGCACCACTGGGTTCAGTCCCTGGTACCAATAAAAAAGAGACAATTCAAAGGGGGAATAGATAATCTTTTTGATTAACAATTCTAAAATATTAGAATTGGCATATGCAAAAACAAAACAAAAATGAAAAACAACTCTCATTTAACACCATAAGTAAAAATTACTTAAAAAAATTATAAAGCTTCTAAGAGAAAACACAAGAGGAAATCTTAATGACCCTGTGTAGCAAATTGTTTTATACAATAAAACATGAATTATGAGATAAAGTTTGATAAATGGAAGTTCATTAAAATTACTTTTGCTCTTCAAAAGACAAGACAATGAAAAAGCAAGCAACAAATAGATAATATTCACAAGGCACATTATTGATGGAGAATTTAGAATATATCAGGAAATTTTACAACTCAGTAACACAAGATAATCCAATAAAAATGAGTAAAATATTTGAACAAATATTTCACAAAAGAAGATATATAGATGGCAATAAGTACAAGAAAAGATAATCAATATCATTAATCATTAGGAAAATTCAAATTAAAACCACAATGAAATATCATTACAATCATATTAAAGTATAAAGAATGGTTTAAAAGCTGAGCACAGTGGTGCATACCTGTAATCCGAGTGACTCAGAAGGGAAGGCCGAGGCAGAAGGATTACAAGTTCAAAGCCAGCCTCAGCAACTTAGCTAGCCCCTGTCTCAAGATTAAAAAATAAAAAATAAAAAGGACTAGATGTGAGACAGTGGCCAAGCGCCCTGAGTTCAATCCCCAGGTATCACACACACACAAGGAATGGCTGAAGTATAAATTCTGACCATACCAATATTGCAAAATTGTGAAGCAATTGAAACTTCCATACATTTATTGTTGGTAGGAATATTTTGTTTAAAAATGAAGCAACTATTTTGGAAAACAGTTTGATACTTTCTTTAAGTTACCTCTGTACTGGACCTATTCTGTGGCCCAGTCATTCTAATCCTAAGTGTTTATCTAAGAGAAACAAGGTTCACATCAAGACTTGTACACATGTTAATAGCACTTTGTCTCTGATATCCCTATCATACATTACTTACACCTCAACAAAAATATAAAATAAAGCCGATTGAATCTGTGTGTGTAAGTTGATTCAAAGGCTTACTGTGTTGAACTGTCTCTGCATTTTTCTTCCTGGAAAGGATTATACACAATTATACTTTGTCTAATCGAAATTTACTAATATTTAAACAATTAATATTCCTTTAAATATTCACAAGCTATTAACATAACTAATAAAGCAAATGATTTTACAAATGAGTTTTACAAATGAGTTTTCTCCAAACACTAATTGCAAATCTAGTCAATTAAATTCCTTAAAGTCTAATGACTTAGGTTCCTTTAAATTCAGAAATTACTTTAAAAACAAGAAAAACATTTAAATATCTTAATGATTATAAAACTAATCAGAATACTCATAAATAAACAGATAAAACTTATTAATACTATGTATTTAAATATGTTTTTACTGTATCTATAGTTACCTATGTTTGTTTATTCTCCATATTTATAGCCTTCCTTATTTTTCTTATTGTTTTATTTCTTTCTAGGAGCAAAGATTTAATATGTAATTCCAAGAAGTGTTTATTTTCAGGCAGGCCAACATTGTGGATTCAGGTTGATAGCTGACATTTCAGGACTGAGGACTCTTGGCAGGGTGATTTTCAGTCCATTATCCAATGGGTTAGTTCTCTTGTTAGAGCTCATTGCATCAGAATTTTTACAATTATTGGCCCTGACCAAACAGCATGGGTTTGATTTCTTGGACCCTAGTGTTTTTCATAGAGTGCTTTTCCTGAGTCTTCTCTATAACACAATCTAAATCACCTATTTTGCAACTTCTTTTAAAAAAATATTTTAGTTGTAGGTGAACACAATACCTTTATTCGGTTTATTTTTTATATATTTATGTGGTGTGAGGATCAAACCCAGTGCCTCATGTATGCAAGGTAAGTGCTCTATGCTGAGCTAGAACCCCAGCCCCTATTTTGCAACTTCTTATTGCATGATAAGCCTGACTTGGCTTGCTCAAGTCTTAAGTCTTTGATAAAGCTGTTTTACTAAAACAACAACTTTTTCATGACAAGCAGTATCAGGACATCTGTTCTCTGGGGGTAGAACCTCTGTCCAAGAAGGGAACTTAGAGACTCCTGTCTGGATAGCTGCTAACATGCTAGGAGCTAGGCAGTCTACTTGGGTGCTACTGTTCTAATGCAACCCTCACACCTTCCAGTTTGGGTCTTCATCCCTACCTTCTACAGAGTCCTGTGTCCCTGATTCAGAGTGTCTCCTCTTTTGATTTCTCTAGAAAATAGTTTGTCTCCATACAGTGAGAAAGGGTACAAGGTTGAGCTCTCAGGATATGTGTGGGAGATAATTTGCAGAGGTATCCAACTGGTTTGCCAATAGATTTTTAACAAATTACAGGGTTTCACCCTGTGCATCCTTCCTGCTTTCCATAAAACCTGATGACTATGCTGGTCAGCTTTATGTTACTGAAACAAAACACTTGAGATAATAAAGTTATAAAAACAAAAGGGTTTCAGTTCATAGTTTCTTGGCCCTATTCTTTTGGTACCTCATGGTAGAAGTGCATGCTAGTAGAAGCCTATTCACCTCAGGGCAGCCTAGAAACAAAGAGAGACAGGAAGTGCTTGGGGTTCCAATATCCCCTTCAAGGCATGGCCCCCCTGACCTAACTTCCTTTCACTAGGCCCCACCTCCTAAAGGTTTCATTCTTTTAAAAGCACCACAGGATGGTTACCAGGCCTTTAACACAGGGGCCTTTGGAGGACACTCAAGGTCTAGACTCTAGCAATGCCTTTCAGGCAAACCACTTGCCTTTTGTAGGTCTCTGTGGCCAATTCTGTCAGGTATCCACTATGTCAAGTGTTCCTCTTCCTTGCTCACAAGATATCCATTATCTCTAAGACAGCCAGATGCCCAGCTTCAGGTGAGACACACACTTTCTCAAGCTCCATTGTAGGCACAAGAGACCACTATAACTACAAGTCTGAGCTTCCCCTTTGCTCATTCTTTCTTCAATGCACATACATGATAAATGGAGCTGTAAGAACCAACCTGTGGCCATGAGGCCAACTAAAGTCAGCAAGATGGGGAGTGCTGAGCAGAAAGACAGAGCCTGGCATAGGTGAAGAGTTGAGCTAAGGCCAGTAACCATGTTCCACTAGACCTCTTGAGGCCAAAGAAAATAAACCCTTACATAATGAAGCTTTGGCTTGTCGTGTATTCCCTTACTCACGGCTGAATGCATCCCTAACTGATGCAAAAGCCTCCTTCCTTAGGCACTCAAACTGTGCCTTCCACTGCCGAGTCAGTTTTCTTCTTCTATTTTATTTTTTAAATGTATTCACTTATTTTTGAGATAGAGTCTTGCTACATTGCCCAGCTGGCCTTGAACTTCCAGGCTCACACATTCCTCCTGCTCAACCTCTCAGTGCTGCAACTACAGACATGAACCATGACACTCAGTCTATAGCCTTCTATTTTCTAGTTTCTAAAACAGTGCTGAACTCTTTATTTTCCCCTTCACTGTTCTCTTTGTCCTTTTTCTTACATGTAGAATCCTTGCAGCCAGAACTTGGGGGATGAAGATATAAATATATGGTTATTCAGCCATGTTTAACTGGAAGTTCTTCAATAACCTCTCAATTCCTAGTCCCCCACCCATCACCATTTAAGTGTAATAATTCTTGCCTTAAAACTCATCTGCTTAAATCCACGTGGTTTTGTTACATGAAGGTAACAGTGAGTTGCTCTCAAGACTTGGAAAAGTTAAATGCCACGTGAGATGGATGGGAGAAGAATGAGCTCATGGTCCCACCACTCACCATTTTCCTGGGGAAACTCCCTAGGGCCCAAGTCACCATGCTGAATAGCTGCAGGTTATTGCTCTGTAGGTCTTTTGGGTGAAAAGGTAATTAAGAAGTACTGTGTGAAGGGATTTCTGCCAAAAGAGAAGGGAATGGAACCAAAGAGTGGTGGAAAATATAAGCAAAATGTGAAGTCAATAAAGATCTTGTGATTTATGCTGACCAAAGAGCTGGACAGAGTGAGGTTTTGTTGTTGCTAGGGAGAACTAAGAAATAGTGATGGTGACTGTGCTGAGCACTGTAATGTGCTACCCACAGAGAGCCCTTCAGATGATCAGCATTTTCTGAGCTAGACCAAGGTCAAGCTCCTTCCATGGGCAGCACATATCCAATAATTGATTGATGGAGGGTATCTTAGAAAGAACTGCAATAATAAAATACCATAAACTGGGTAATTTAAACAACAGGCACTTATTCTTTTCCCACAGTTTTGGAAGCTGAAATCCCAGAACAGGGTGCCATCATGGTCAGGTTCTTGGTGAAGGCTCTCTTCCTGGCTTGCAGACAGTCGCCTTCTCATTGAGGACTCACATGGTGAAAAGAGAGAGAGAGAGAGAGCAAGGTCCCTTCTTCTTTGTATAAGGACACTAATTCCATCCTGGGTGCCCTACCCACATGACCTCATCTAAACTTAATTACTCTTCAAAGACCCCATCTCCAAATCCCATTGCATTGGAGATTAGAACTTTAAGAAATGAATTTTAGGGGACACCATTATCCAATCTGTAAGAGAAGACAGAAAAAGATTTGGCCCATTCAAAACAATCCTGAAGGACTCTTCTAATTTCAGAGCTGGCTGAGAATTTTGCATCCACTCACAGCTCCATTTCTCCCTGTATCCATCTTGCTTCCTCCTCCTTCCTTCCAGGAGTGCTGATCCTGAGGATTCCTTAATTGACATGCTTGTGGTGATATTTATTAAAGTCTTTACAGTTGCGAAATCATACCGAGAACAGTACCTAATACCTGCTTAGCAGTTTTTGTTTTGTTTTTTTTGTACAATGAATTATACCCAGGGGCATTTAATCCTGAGCCACATCTCCAGCCCTTTTTATTTTTTATTTTGAGTCAGAGTCTCACCAAGGGCCTTGCTAAGCTTAGGGCCTTGCTAAGCTGCTGAGGTTGGCTTTAAAATTCTGATCCTCATGCCTCAGCATCCAGAGCTACTGGAATTACAGGCGTGGGCCACCACGCCCAGCCTGCTTTGCATTTTACAAGTAACTTTTGACAACATGTTCCCATTCTCTGCTTTAATTCTCACACAAAAATTTGTTTTTCTGCTTAGGATAAAAAATCCTGAAGGTCAGAGAGGGTACCACCCAGGGCTGTGCAGCTTATTAGAAACAAGACCCGGATTATCTTGGTCTCCCAACTCTGACCTTGAGGGGGTGGGCAATTCTGAAAAAGCAAAACAAGGAAACAAATAACAAAACAGGCCTTTGCCACAGGCCAGGTTAGAGAATCTGGTACCAGAGACTGACTGCTTGTGCTTCTCTTTTCTGTAACAAACCTGTCAGTCATGAAAGCACACTCATTAAGATGCCAACATGTTACCCTCCAAGGCCAGCGGCACTCAAAACATTAAAGAAACGAGTGGAATCTTAAAACGTTGGCTGCCCTAATGAGTTTTCAGTTTCTCTCTGGGAAAGTAACAAGCAAAGCTGTTGTAATTCTTTCCAAGCAATAGGGCACCTAGGACACAGAGATGCCAATAGTCTCCTTAGCAACCATCCAAAATCGAGTTGCTGGAAGATGAAATCCTGATCTCTATTCATGCAGCAGATCACATGGGGTCAGGTACTGTTTATCTCTTTAGTAGAAACCACCAGGCACTGGGATTTTAATTGCATCCTTAAGATCAGCAAAAATAAAAAAAGAAGATGAAGTAAACAGGAGAAATGGGTGCAGTTCCTAATGAGCATGTACTGAACATAAAACATTCAGCTAGCTTCTTTGAAGCATGTACTTTTGTACAGTATGCCTCAGAAGCCATTGCAGATGGGCGTACACACACACACACACACACACACACCTTTAAGGCTTCAGACGCTGCCTGCTCTTCATTATAATTTGAAACTCACCAACCAAGCTCATTATGTAAATGTTTGGTTCAGGAGGATTTTTTTTTTTAGCCACATAACCATTTGACTATTATGTGTTTGCTTCACCCAGAATTGCTTTTTAACAATCTTCTAAAAGACCACAATACTGAGCAATCCTGGAAGCATAAGGGCTATAAATCAATGTTATCCTTTTTCATTAAAACAGCCTTGCCGAGGGAGCAGGTGGTGACTGGTCATATCACCAACTGCTGAGTCCTTGACAGATGGGGGTTTAAATGCTATTTTTCTGTTGCTTTTCTGAACGCTATTTCATTTATTAATTTAACAAATATTTATTGATATGCTTTTGCTATTCATGTGTCAAGCACTCATTAAGACTTAAAAAGTACTGATACTTAGTGGTATAAATTAGTTGACAAAATTTCTCTACCAACAAATAATTCGGACCATGTTGTTTAATCACATTTACATACATTGAAAGAACCAGAGATGTGACTGGGCAGAAGAAGACCTGTTTCTCATATAAATAAAAGTTAATACTATTTTCAAGGGTCAAAAAAGGAGCTATTTTATAAAAAGGGCACAGTTTCTTGTCTTACAAATCAATTTTTCCTTTAGCCTTTGAAAAGAGTTGCTTTAGAAATCTACCCTCTGAAGGAAAGGAAATGACATTTTAAAATAATAGCTTTAACTTTTCTTTTTCTTTTTTTTTTTTCCTGGCTGCTAACTGAAGGAGCTAAACCAAAGACAATCTGCTTGGGAGACCTGGCGCTTCTGAATAGGAAAGGAGGTTAGCCCTACCGGTGTCTATTCCTCCATTTCTTGCTTATCTTCCTTCTTTCTTTTGTTTTCCTCCCCATTTTCTTTTTTCCTGTCCAAGGCCCTATTAATGGAACTTAAAAGATAAAAACGTTTCTAGTTCCATGGCTGGTGGCAAATAGCAGCAAGTTTTAGCTTCACAATTATGGATGGACTTGTGCCATTTTTTCTAGCTTTCCCTGAGGGCTATTGTTAGAGATACAATTTGGAAGATACCCAGCCGATGCTTGACATGCTGTCAGAATCTCACTGTTTCTAAAATACTGTGAAATTTCCCAGTGATTTGTGGAGCAATTTTGAAAGTCAAGTCAGAGAATCTCTGAATCCTTACGGAGGGGGATCTGTAGCAAGCTGACGGGGGTGGCAGTGGGTGTTTAATGTATGTGTATATTTTTTTACTCCAATTTTAAGTAAGTAGGTTTCTGATCTTGAGGAAATGTTTCCCCTACTCTCTCTGATATCTGTCTTCATCTGCAAAGTCACAAGATTCTGTAACTACTATTGTAAAAAAAAAAAAAAAGGCCAGAGAAAAATAATTCAATCTGTCGTGAAGTCAGATTAAAAAAAATAAAACTTTAAAGCTGGAAGAGAATAGAAAATTTGTTTTATTTTGTTCATTGGTCCATTGCCAGTGCAATGAATATTCAATAAACATTTATGAAATAAGAATATATGAATTAACCATGTTACTCTTTCCTACTTTACAGATGGGAAATCTGAAGTCAGAAGGATGAATGATCTACCTACAGTTTCACAGGAAATTGGGGGAGCTAGAATTCTAAACCAGGCTTCTTGAATTTCCACGTACATAGGAATCACCTGGGGATGTTAAAATGCAGATTCCAATATAGTGAGTCTGGGATAGGGCTCTAAATTCTGCGTTTTTAACAAAGCACAAAGTTGACTCTGTATTATTAGTCCAGAGACCACACTTTGAACAGCAAGTTTTCCAAAACAGACATTTCAAATTTCTTCTTCTTCAAATACCTTCATTTTATTATTATTATTTTTTTTGTTTATGTGGTTCTGGGGATTGAACCCAGGGCCTTGCCGGTGCTAGGAAAGCGCTCTGCCACTGAGCCGCAACCCCAGCCTTCAGATTTCTTATAAGTATTTCCATGTTAAAAAGTACATAATTGGGTTTTCCTATGTAGCAGCTGTTTTGTTTTATTCATTAAAGTCATGATTTAAAAATTGGATTGTTATGATTGGCCCTGTTGCGTTGCAAATGAGGATTTGGGGACTGTATACCAAATGAACAGACTTTAGTTGCCAAGAGGCATTTAAAAAAGAGAGTTCTTAATCTGCTTCCATTTATGAAATTGTCATTTCTTTCACTCCCAACAGAACTTTGGCTGATTTAGGCCTCTCTGGGCAGATACTCCTAGAGGGAGTACATTTGCTTTCATAGATATGTTTGCTTCTTGAGTTCTAAGAAGAGATTTCTAAAGAGTACAGAGAGGTGTTTCTGCAAGATCAATACTCCCACACATTGACAGAGAGAACCTTTATTAGTTATGTGAACTTTATGAAAAGCTGCATCTCTAGAAGGGTCCAAAGTGGTTAACTGGACCTAAGATTCAGAATGGAACCCCAGAGCCACCCGACTATGAGGTCACAAGAGTACTCTGTGTAAAACCACCCTTCTGAGATACTCCGATCTTCAGGTCTGGAGTGATCTATCCATAGCAACAGACCGAGTTAAAAATTACCTCTTTATGAGAGGGAGGGAATTGGATGGAAAGTTATTCTTGTTGCCATCTAGCCATGGGATTCATGTGACATCACCTGTACCACATTCTGGGTTTGAAGTGAGTCACAAGGTCTGACACCCATCAAGAGGAAAGAAACTAGGCTTCATATTTTGAAGAAAGAAGTGATCAGGGAATTGGGACAAGTCACCTGATAGGCACACCAATGGCAGTGGCAGTTGTCCAGGAAGATGAGCACTAACTCAAGTCTAATAGTGGCTTGCTGTATCATTCTGCCAGCAAGTACAGAATTATAGTCTCCATTTTTCTTGCTTGGTAGAATTAAAATAACACATAGATAGCTCATCTGTATTCAAGTAGTTCTACGGCAGGTGCAACATATTCACCCTAGTCCGCTTCTTCACATAAGAGGATATTGGTTAAATCTGTTTGATACAGAGAGGAAGTTTTATTCTAGCATTTGTCTCTTTACCACCTGCCAAACCCAGTACCACAACCAATGCAGAAAATCAGGATTTTAGGTGCACTTTGGAAAAAGCACTGGTGATCTACATTTTAGATTGAGAAAAGATAATGAGAGGAAGCCTCATAAAATTTAAAAAAGATAATGAATAAGCTGAGTCTAAAGAGTCACAGTAATTATTTCATTTAGAAGATGTTAAGAGAGGAGAAAAATCTATTGAAAACAAATCTGCAATTGAGTTCAATAAAAAAAAACTCTCAATTATAACTTTTGTAAGACTAATGGTCAATTCCAATTCTTCATCTGGTTTCTTAGTAGCTAGTGGATTTATGATTTACAAAGAAGATGCTTGACCCCAGAGAAAGCAATTAGCATTCTTTTCACAACATAGCTTTCATTGCTGAAGGTCTTGGAAAGCTGCAAGGAATTGTAAAAGAATCAATATAACAAAAATCAATTTAAAAATGTGATTTATGTAACACTCTCTGGATTTGGGAAATAGGCAAATTCTTATTATCTTATTAATGAGGGGCACATAGGAACAAAGGAATGTAAAATGATAAGTAACTACTAATGGCTTTCTTTCCTACTATAGTTGTGTCTGAGCCTTGAAGCCATAAAAATAAATAGCAATGGAGCAGAAACATTACTAATTACTATCTCCTCTCAGGAGTCATTCTATCTGATCAGTTCTGTTCTCACAAGTATAATGTGAATTTACTGGTCCTCAGACATTATAAGGAATGTGTCAACATGGGACAGCTAGTTATACAGCAGACTTGTGACCATTCCAGATTATTTCCACTTAGTGGCCAGCCCGTGAGGTATCTATGTCCATGGAGTTGAATGTGTATCCAAGCAAACCATCTAGCTGGTACTTGAATTCTTCTAGTTTAGCATTCGAGTAGTTGAATAAAAAAGATGGTGCCTTTTTGTCTGGATGCTTCTGTAGGCAAGGCAACAGAAATCCATTTTGTAAGAATAAAAACAATTAGACTCTCAACCACATGGGAATTTGGGAGCTTCAATTGTAATGGGCCATGGAAGTTTTTCCTGATGAATGATCAAGCGATTTTTGGGAAAATCAAAACAAAGAAGACTATAGGTTTGGAATGAAGGGATAAAGAAGATGTGAACATGGGCATCAGAGCATTACAAATGAATTGAGAGCCGATCTCCCTGGGGTATTCTTTCAGGGATCAGGATGCATTTTTTTAATATTTATTTTTTTACTTGTAATTGGACACAATATCTTTATTTATTTATTTTTATGTGGTGCTGAGAATTGAACCCAGGGTCTCGCACATACTAGGGGAGCACTCTATCACTGAGCCACAATCCCAGCCTTCTCAGGATGCATTTTTGAATCCAAGTACACATTGACCAACTACCCAGCCTTCACATGATGAAAGTCTCTCATGCATGCCTTCACTTAAGTTTTTATGCTATATCTCATGGGAACAATGACGAGAAAATTTCTCCAGAGAAGTAATAACAACTTTACAACCTCTGATGAATTACTAGGTCTGGTCAATGCTTATTAATGACTGCCTGTGTCACAGAAAGAATGAAGGAGGTTATGTGCCTCATGCTGGAAGTGCACAAGGCCACACATGAGTAAACTGTTTTTCCCCCCACTGAAATCAGACCTGAGTTTGACCATGCCTGGAAATCTAACTCATATGTTTAGAAAATACAAGGAAGGAAGAAAGTAACATCAAACATGAGACCCTAGGGAGTCAATCAGAAAAACCCAGAATGTAAAAAGCTGTACAGGACGAATAATCTAGTTTCTTCGACAATGGGGAAGAGCAAAGGATAGAGAGGAGGAGGTAAGGAACAGGAGGGGGAAGGAGAGAAGGTAGTGGAGAAGGGAATAGAACCAAGAGACATAAAAATCAACCAAATTGTATGGCCCTTGTTTGGATCTCAATCTAAACAGACTATAATTGTGTTTGTATCTATACAAATGCATATATATTTATAATATATATTGATATATATACTATATGTACATATATGTATGTGTGTGCATATATATGTGTGTGGATATGTGTGTGTATGTATATAAATTTTTTTTTTAAGCTTTGACCAAGGTGATGAACAGTCTTTTTTGCGTTTCCCCTTCTTTTCTACTGGCTGGAAAATGCAGACATTGTGGCCTAGTGTGTAGACAGGACAACACACCAGAGATGATGAAATAGAAGATGGAAAGTCCCCACACCCTCAACAACTTTGTACAGCAGAGCTGCCATGTCAGCTGAGTTGTTTACACAGAGCAAAGTGAAAATTTTGCTGACAGAACTAAGGCAAGAGCTCTGCTTTTATAAATTGAACTTTCCTGGCTACCACCCACTGATATTTATCTAATATTTTCGCCTAACTCTGGATGAGGAAACTTTCCTGCCCCTGATGTTTGTGTATTTAAGTAAAAAGTCTTATCCATCAAAACGGGAGCTTTTTGCCCTTAGGAGAATGGTGGACATAATTCCTCATTGATATTCCGCCCGTGTGGCTTTTCTGGCTTTGAAATCTGAACAGTAGTGAGGATCCATCTGTTTAATATGGTATTTTAGGACTTACTGTTATTTGTGAATTTTATCTGGGCATTTTGATTAGTGCTATTTTCTAACTATAATTTTATTTAATATATAAAGTATAATTTAAATGTTTTTGATAAACTATACACAAAAACAAATTGGATTTCATTACAGCAATGATAAATTAAATTTTCTCATGCTTTATTTAACACTTATGCCTACAGTAATCCCTAATGGGCAATTAAACTGACTTACTGAGAGTGAAGGTTTCTTGCAGGACACAGCAGCCATATGTTTGATCAGACACAAGGCATTTACAGAAGTAATTCAACAGAATCATGTCATCCATCAGGCAAATATATGCAGAGTCCTGTCTGGTCTCCCAGAAGGAGCCATGTTGTTGTATGTGTATGTTTTGTTTTATTGCACTGAGTTATCACTTGGTAGTTGGTACTATTTTGCTACAGCTAAGAATCACAAAGTTTTATCAATTCTACCTCCTAAATCTATCTCTGATATGTTCTGGATTCATCTGCTTCTCTTGATCTCTAATCCCATTTCCCTAATCCAAACCATTGTCCTCTCCCACTTGGATTAGTGTAATAAATACCTCACTTGGCTTCTTGGCTTCCATTCCAGTTCCCTCCAATACATTTTCTCCAAACCAACTAGAAGGATCTTTTAAAAATGTAAATCAGAGATGGGCACAGTGGTGCATGCCTGTAGGCCCAGAAACTCCAGAGGATCACAAGTTCAATTCAAGCCTGGGCAATTAGTCTCAAAATAAAAAATGAAGAGGGCTGAGAATGTAGCTCAGTGTAGAGTGTCATTGGATTCAATCTCCAGTACCACACAAAAAAGTTAATGTGATTATTTAATGCACAAATTTAAAACTCTCCTTCCAGTCTACAAGTGCTGTGAACATGTCATTCAAATTCCCACAACTCACTTGTAACATATCTTCTAGTAGTGTTGCTGCTTCTACTCTAATGGCTACCTCATAGAATTGTAGAGTTCTGAATTTACAAGACATGGGGAAATTCTAGCTGTAAGTCAAATTTCTAGTAAGCTTTCTTCTCATGCTTCAGAACTTTGATGCTGGCCCCATCAGAATAAACTCTATTGATGCAGGATTAGAATAATGATTGTCAGATTTTGATGTGCCTAAGAAATAATTGGGAACCTTGCTAAGATAACAATTTTCAGACCCATCTCTGGAAATTCTGATTTTGTTTACCTGGATAACGGCTCAGGTCTACATTTTTAGGGCATCCTTCAGAGAATGCTAATGCAGGCAGGAGGTACTAGACAGAGAATACTCATTTTAAAATGGAGCATGTTTGGTAGTGGTTGGGATCTGTTTCTGTTGTAGTTAGTCTAGAAGACCCACAAAACAGGGTCTAGTATGCAGAGAGGGCTGCCTTAAGGTCTGAAGTCTTAAAGATGGAGTTGCAGCTTGGTCTAAGCACTATTAGACTT